CCACTCATGTACACCAACCATGCACCGTTCGCCCAGATTGTGAGGCGATGAGCGGCGAAGGCTCTGCTCCAGTGTGTCGGGGTCGGCGGTACCCGGGCGCTAGCCCATTCTATTTTGTGAAATACACGCTTTGTCGACATTGGTCTTCTCTTGGCCCGGCCCTCCATCACAAAAAAGCTGGGCCAGCTGTTTAGCTTCAGGAAGAAGTGAAACAGGTTCCCTCGAGACTCTGGCCTTGCGCACCACTGGTCAAGAAGCCTTTCAAAGGGTGAAGGTAAACAAGAGGAACCTATATGCGCATTCTTTTCCTTGCCTGCGAATGTACTCAGTGTTGGTGGACCAAACTGTTGCAGAGCTTCCAGGAAGAGTCGTCAGCGTATGCAAATAGACCTTACGCAGCCTCGAAGACTCAGCTGTCACCATGCACTGCCGTGCACTCAGCTATTGGCTTCAAGCGGTCCTTCTGAGTCACCGACACACCAAAGGTTCCAGCACAGGTGCCACGACCAAGCACATGCAGGTGCCTTTAACAGCTGACTCTCCCAACAATCGCTTTCCACGAAACATAGACCTAAAGGACACCTGTCAATCCAGTGCTGCAAGGCGATCCCAAGAACAGGCCTTCCACAAGTACTTACATCCAAGCAACCCTCCTGCCATCAAGCAAATTCAAGTGGCTTCAAGGTCGAAAGAACTGCTTAGAGGACCTAGAGGTTACTTGGGCAAGCAATCACAGTGGCATCGTGTCGCAACCTGGAGCACGAAGACCAGGTCAGCTGCTGCTCCCTCTTCGAACAGAACTCCGGAAACTTGGCGGACCTCCTGCGACATTCCAGAATCATACAGCGCACTTGGGATCTGCTTGGAATTATATAGGAGCTTCATGACTTACTTCATCCAAGCGTCCATCTTTTGAGCAATCTGTCGCAAATCCAGGTCATCAAGAACCGAGGTAAACCTGAGAATTCAATGAAACCAATCTACTTAAAAATCTACTTATATAATGAGCGCTCAAGTTGGTTTTCATAAATGCACCAGCAGAGACTTCAAGGCTTGTTGTATATACATAACCCAGGTTGTGCCCATCAGAATACCATCATCAAAACCCATGCTTTTTGGTCAATGCAACAAAAGAAATACTGAGATCCCTACGAATCCCGTCTCAGGGCGTTGAGGAGAAGTGAATCTGCTTCTGGCCTGAAATCTGTCGGCTCTAGTTGCATGTGATGTCCGCCCAAACCAGCCTTTGCGCAGCTGAATATGGACCTGTGCAGTCTGGCACAAGCAATTGTCACGACCAACTTCATGTTTGTGGAATACCATGCAAAATTACGAGTTACTAGAGCTGTTGCAGTGCTAGCTAAGTCAAGATCCATCATTTCGCTTTGCAATTTCGGCCATGGGCAAGCGTCAAAGATGCCAGCGTTCAGAAAAATAATGCGCATGATGAGGGTGCTTTTTCAGATCGGCCTTGCACCCAAGGAACATGTTTGGCTTTAGTCTCCTGGATGAATGCAAAGAATATCTACGGGTAGTACAGTCATTTGAGCCAAGAATGGTCAGCGGATGCAACAGCATGGGAGCACTAAGAGAACCACAACCACATTGGCAAAGTTGTTCAGATTCAATCAGGCAGCTTGCCAAGTACACAAATTGAATTCCCCCAAGCACGTTTCCCTGAGGGTGCAGCAAATTGTTTGGATTGTTGTTGATGACCTGCATATGCAACTATTCAATCAACAGTTGAGCTTGCCGACTTCTGAGCAGTCATCACTAGTGGTGTGTTTCCAACTCAGGACCACACCAGAACAAGGGTCATCTGCAGCGAACAGCCTTGCAAAGGAAAAGTCAGAATCACTTGATCATTAAAACAAGGACATTTTGACTATGGAGTGCCTGAGTTCGACTTGAGTGCCAGGTCAAAAACCCGTGACGAAATGAACCCGCCGCAGAAAAATTGAGTCTGGAAGTGGGGTCTAAAAGCTGTTTCCTTGCAGATTCTTTGTCTGCTATTTGCAATGAGCGGTGTTGCCATGGCCATGTCTCCTCGACTGATCGTTTCCTAAGTGAAAATGTTGACTTCCTACCCAAATGCAAGCACCATAGATTTGAGTCCAAGTGTGTTGTCTCTTCCTTGGGAACATCCCCCTTTGATGTATGCAGCTAGCATGGTGCGTATTGGTTTTAAAGTATTGGATTCAATTGGAACTCTTTGTCTGGTCAGGTGCCACACAGGGCGACATGGGCTGAGAATTCAATTGCAATAGCCAACAACTGCCACAAGGCACCCTTGTTCTGATCGCCAGCAAATGAGACCCCATGGCTGGGTCGCAATTGAATCTGTGCTGGTTTGGACTTTGAAGTGAAAACTGGATCAAGTTTGCCAACTGTCACAGTCACGTGAATCTTTGCAAGGTGATGGTCCGTTGTGTCGTTCAAACAAAACGGCAAAACGTTGTTACAACGAAATGAAGCTGATAATCAAGCATGCTTAATGTTGTCGAAATGTTGGCTATATGCTAATCAATTTTGTGTTGTTGCGTTTTTTCTGTGGTTCATAGTCCTGTCGAACATCGCTTGGGCTACAGCCGCGCCGGGGTTCTTTGCAAATATGGCTTAATCAGCCATAGCTCTCGGCAGGGTTTGCATCCACTGAAAAACCTTGAATGAACATTTGAAACCCGTGTGTTCAACTCAGCCACACACCCATGAAGTATCTTGACACGCCGTTGGGTGTTTCAATGTCAAGGCTGGATAAAGCGCGGCTGATATTCTTAAATATCTGCCTTGCCATGATATTGACCATGATATAGGATTCCTGTTTGATATTGAGTAGTATGCAAATGACACCACTAAAATTATACAGATAACCGATTTTGAATGATTTGCTGCGTCTAACTGGTCCTACATCCAAACATGGTCTGAAACTCAACAGGAGCAAAGGTGTAGCGATCGAAATGAACAACAATGACTCAATACACTTTGAAAACGGCAATTGGGCAATGATATTGAAATCCCCACCCAAAGCGCTGAGGCGTTGTCTCAATTCGCGCAAGCCGCTGGCAATTGTTGGATCATTTGTTGAGTTTCAGTTTGGAGGTGTTTTCCTGCCTTGGAATGTTCTGCTTTTGAAGTATTTTGAAGTCGATTGCTTGGACTGACCCGGACCACGCAAACTGTTTGGGGTCAGCGTTGGAGCAATGACGCCAAAAAACACCCAATACCACGACAAACAACTTGGTAATTGGTCCCGCACAAAACAATGGGTGGCCAACCATTCCGATGCAAATGTTCAGGCACTCAACTCATCTGAATTTGATCTTTCCTGCTCCTGCATTCAACTCTTTGCCTCGCTTGGTCAAATCACATGTCCACAACATCATCGTGAGTGGACGGTTTTTCAACATAAAAACTGGTTGTTCAACACCAGTGTTTTGCTGGCCCAAAAGAAACGTTTTTTCAGCTTTGCTCTTTTTTGATTGGAAAGCTGCTTTTCGACACCAATACGTTGATTTTTCAACCCAAGGAAAGAGACACCAAGAGATTAGAAGAGAGAGAGAGAGAGAACGGCATCAAAGATTGGCTGGTCACACTGTCTCAGGGTTTTGCCAGTTTTTTTCTCAGTTCCGTGCTGTCTTCTCCGACCGACTCCAACCTTCTTTCTCATTACCTCCTAAACGTGTGGTCAAAAGCTCATGCACCTTTTTTCAGCGGGGAACTGCAACTCAACGGCAGGGTTAGGCAGGCTGTGAAACCGAACGAACGCTCTGCGGCAGTTGTCATGAGAGTTCAGAGTTCACTCGAGTTCAGTCGTCGACTCAAGGCTGCTCATTGCGCACAACAAGCGACAGCATCTTGGAACTGAACAAAGGCTCTGTCTGAGTCGGCATTTGAGGAAGAGTTCACTTGAGTTCAGTCGTCGACTCAAGGCTCATTGCGCACAGCGAGCGGCAGCATTTTGGAACTGAACAAAGGCACTGTCTGAGTCGGCAGTGGAGTGTAGAGTTCACTTGAGTTCAGTCGTTGACTCAAGGCTGCTCATGTCACACAGCAAGCGCTATCGTTTGGAAATTGACTGAAGGCTCTGTCTCAGCGCGACGGATTGCGGGTGTGGTGGGAGGGAGAAACGCAATCCGCCATTTAAGACGGATCCCGTCCCTCCCTCCCTGGAGCCAACGTCTCTGGATTAGATGTCGTCACCTGCGGTGAGATTCCACTTACCTCCTAAACACGTGGTCAAAAGCTCACGCACCTTTTTTCAGCGGGAAACTGCAACTCCCCCATTCAGCTCTTCCCTCTGAAAAGGTGCGAAGTCGACACTGCACGCGAAATGCTCCGGCATCCTCCAGTGCGGAGTAATCGCCACGCGATGGTCCATCGGCCACATTTGACTTTGAGGGAACACGCGCAACCCACATGAGGAACTGACGAGAAGACTCGATGCTGTTAATGCGCTCAAGCATCATGCCAGCTGCTCCCAGCCTCTCGTTCGAGTTTGCTATTGATCCTCTCACTGCGTCATTATCGACACACAACGACAAGCTGGCGATTGGCAAACTTTTCTCCCCAGACCGAAAGTCCAACCAGCAAAGCGTACATTTCGGCCTCAAAAATAATGGTTTTCTTTGCGCCAAGACCCAAGGAAATCACGAGTTGTGCATTTGCGCATTGCAAGCTCTAAATTGCAAGAAGAGCATTTGGAGGATGCACGCAACTCAGTCGTTTGAGCGAACGGACCAAAGCTGCTCGCAAATGCTTTTCTCCGATGTGATCACTTAGATACGCCGAAGTGGGTTCGGTGGTTGCCACGCAGCCAAGAAGATGATGAAGAGTGTGTCCACTGTCCATCAAACAACTACCCACGAAAGCCCAAGCAAGAGTGCCTGTCACGTGGACTGGAATGCAATGGGACCGCACGACACGCATGACTGCAAATGCAGCGTCACTAGTGCCTGCTAGTGCTTGCTTGAGTGTTGACTTGCACCCGCGTGCTGGTCCTAGGAAATCTAGACTAATGCGCAGCACTTGCCCTTCTTGACCTGAGTAGGTAGACAGTCCCATGACTGCTGCCCGTGCAGTGGATCTGGATGAGTACAGAACTGGGAACGGCGTTTCACTTCTTCTCACCCTTTCACCATAGTTAGTGGGGCCTTGCTTGGTTGATCGATCTGGCCACGTTTGAAGGATGCAGTCAGAAGCTATCAGAGGATCAAGCAAGGTTTTTGCAGCATGCGCCATCTGGGTCTTGCTCTGCTGAGCTGTTGGTAAGCTGTGGAAGCGTGGTGTGCTTCGTGTGTGACCTCCCCCTTTTGGGGGAGGCTTGGGAGGCGCTTACCTCTTGATGGCTTTTGAACTCTGGTGGTCACCTCCCACTGCCCTTCTTTCCCGGTTTTGTGGAAATTCCGGGTTTGATGGCGGCCCTTGCGCTGTCCACCAGGTTCCGCCCTTTTTTTGCTGCCAGCCTTCGAGCATGCTACCACACGCAACGCGTCCACCTTTGTACCTCATGGACCTTACCAACGCACTCGCATGCATTCTGGACGGTGCACTTGCCTTCGTACTTTGGCTCTGCCATTTCATGTTGCGATGCTCGGGTTTCTCACCTGCTTGCACAGTGACCATCCTCTTTGCATCCTCTTTGCATTCGTTGATGGACAAGAACTTCTGAGTGCAATATAGAATTCATCGCCCCTGTCTCACCCTTCCTCGCGCCTTCAAGGCCACTTTAAACGAAAAACTCCGGGTAGCAACCTTACACGGTAGACTACCTACCTTCCCTGGATCTTTAGCTCACAACAGGCTCTCACACTCGTCCGGTACGGTACGAAACCTTTCTCTCAAACCTCCGAATACTTCGGAAAACTTCAAACGCTGCACTAGCTGCTCTCAGACACTCGCACCCTTTTCTCACACTAGCCAAACGAATTGGCCTTGAGCCAAAACATATCCCGTAGCACTAAACTATACAAAGAATACACAAAAACATATTAAAAGTCTCTTAAAGCATCTCCACACACAAAGAACTCTTTCAAAACTTCCGACTACGCTACAAGTCGCTTTCAAACAATTAAGAAACAAAATGTTGTACTACCGCCAGGTTCCAAATCTTTCACAAACAAACTTAAACGAAATTTATGCGTCGCAAACTGCAAGCATCGAGCGGAGTGGACATCCCGACATGGAATTTCTTCACCCCCTCTTGGACACAAAGCTCGAAACGAACTGGCTGGCTTTAAGCCTTCTTATTCTTCTTCAATGAGGACAGACATTTGGCACAAAGATCTTTCGACATAGGTACGTTCATGCCCGAGCAAGTTGGATTCAAATGAACCTTGCTCCCACTCACTGAAAAATATACTTTTGAGCATTGCTCAATGCCTTTTGGAACTGGATAGCTCTTCGGCATATCGACTTTAAAAGTCACTTGGCTCTCAGGCTCAGCATGC